GCCGGTCCCGCGGAGGCTGCCCGAAAAGGCCCTGTTCCCAGGGGCGCAGTACCGCTTCGTGCTGAATGTCTCGGACAGCAACAATCCCAGCAGGCGCTACCATTTTTAATAGGTAAACCATCTATAAATGGGCCATTTTAGATGGCTTTGGTATGGTTTACCCTATGGTAAATAAACTTGTTGACCCTGAAAATCACCAGTTTTGAATGGAAACTGGTCTTCCAAGCCCGATGACTGCCAGGGTCGAACTGTTAATTTACCAGAGGGTAGGTTTTGAGCATTTTTGACCCATCCCATCTCGATATCCAGTATTATCCAGTCAAGAGTTTGAATCTCTGTCGGACAGCCTGTAGTACTACTGGAGGTTGAAGCTGGCTGATAAGCCAAGTTCTCCCAGCATGTCTTCCCTTAATCTTCTTGCAAGGACCCTGGGTGACCCTTGGAGAACCGCCCGGGCTGGGAAACGTGGGCCAAAGCGTTCTCTGCTGCGCAGGTTTAGCATTGCGGCCACTGAGATCAAGGTCCAACTGTCCAACTTTCGGCAGGGTCTTCTGAGTTCATCATTTCTTATGCATATGCCAATATGGTCCAATATGGTCCAATATGCATCAATGATAGTGGAGGGCCTGGCGACCTGGCGGCCTAGCGGCCTGGCCAGGTGATTCAGAGCCAACCGCACCTGGGATCTCTGCGGGTGAGCCCTATGCGGGGCACTTCAGGCGGGAACCGGGTGCCAAGGTCCCAGCCATGGGAGGACGGAGGGTAGCCGCAGCCACGTTTCATGCTTTTTATGTTCAGTACAGTACTATATTGGACTTGGATCTTTCAACCATTCATACGCACTTTTTTTGGGTTGTCCCAAAAGGAAGCAAACATCGACCGGCTTGATTCATCATGGACATTTTCCATCAATTTTCCTTTTTCATGGAAACCAGGTCGGAAGAAATTACCTTTTGGTTGGCTAATGTGGCCTGTTCAGACATGCGTTTCTGCATCTTTCTGGCAAGTTTTCCAGGGGAAAAAACTGCCAAACAATGAACAACGTCTGTGGTCGAGCAACCAGGGAGGCCCTTTTGCCCGAAAAGGCAGAACAACTAACAAGTGAGTAGTCAGGAAGTTTGGCTCTACTTCTCTCAACGCACCCGAAATTAAACTTACAAACGTCAACCAACTATCAACCAAGTTATGTAAAACAAAAGGCACCTTCTGACTACCCTTTGGTCATTGTTCACAGTTTTGCGAAGTGGAACATGTCCCATGATTAATTTAGTGCCAGTTGTTGCTATGTTAGATTGCCAGGGGATACATCCCTATTAATCTTGTATAATCTTAAAAGGATAATCCCATATAATCCAAATGTTTGATGATCAATCCATATCAATCCCTAAAAAAAACAACATGTTTTGATACTGAATCAGTTGAATCCCGCGAATCTCCCATGAATTAAAATTCATGGCTGGTCAATCATACAAAATCCCATGAATGGTTGGTTAAATGCAGAACTTAATTATCCCAGTGATTATCCCATTAGTATCATTTGATATCCCATCATATCCCATCAATCCATATTACTCTCGATGTTTATTGGCCTCCCATTGATATCCCAAATTCATGGTTTGCTAACATCAACTTTTCATTGCTTAAATCCACGAATATCAGGTTTTTTTTTTTTTTTACCATGTTTTTTTTTCCACATTAGGATTAACCCATGAATAATAAGTATAGTTGTAAGTTGTAACTATCAATCACATTCATCAACGATCATCATGGTTTTACCAAGTTTAAAAAAACAAAAAAAAAAACACGTTTTGAGCCCATGAATCCAAAAGAGATGGGTGAATCGGCCCAGGTGTCACGGAGTTCACCCTGGAGGCCTACGGATGGAGTGCCGAGGAGGCGGCCGACTGGCCCCGACTGGAGGCATTTTTTGGAGGAAAAACCATGGGAAATCTGTAGGTTTGATCGATTTTTTGATGGATTCTTTGATAGATTCGGGAAAACTGATATGTTTCATCGATTTTTTGATTGATTGGATTATGATTGTTGAAGAATGATTTTCTGATAGTTTTTTGTTTGATTCTGATCCCGGTTTTGTTGAGATTCTATAGATTAGATCCTGATCCTAGTATTGTTCTGTTTTGTGATGGGTTTTTACAGAAATTTACAGTTTTGATTTGGAAGGCAAGGCAGATCCTGGCGCATCACCTGCGAGGCGGGCATGCCGCTGCTTTACGACTTTGGCTATTTGGACAACCAAGGCCCGGCCATGGCCTGGAGAATTCCAGATGGGTCAAGGGCATTTGATTTGATATCTAGTAGCAGAAAAATACAGAGAGATGTATTACTAGGATGAGATGTGGCGATAGAGAGAGATGACATGCCATCACCAGCAATTTTTTTCATATCTCCCTGGGTCAGAGAACCAAATCAGCAGGGCTTCCAGCGTAGCAGGGCTATGGGTGGTGAAACACACTTTTCCACCCGAGCACTGATACAAAACAAGAAATAGCCGTTATGTGTGAAAGTACTTGTTCCGTGGTCATGGCAAATGCCCATTTATAATTAGGGCGCGAACAACAAATCTTGCTTCCCTTAGGCTCGCTTTTCTGCTTAGTTTCAACTTTTTTGGAATGTGTAGAATGAGAAGAGGCCTCGGACGGTGCAAGGTAAATGATGGTGGACACAACGTTTGGGGGTCATTAGGCCATCGTCGTCCGCGGGTGTCTTCGAGTCGGCTATGAACCAGCTAGTTTTAGGCATTGTTCCCGACAGAAGTGGACACAGAAGACAGCACGGCAAGCTCAGCAGCATATAAATGTATACTATGTTCATTGATCATGTGGTTGTCCGTGTGTGAGGCCCTGAAAAGGTTTTTAAGTTTGATCTTTCTAGGTGCTGGGAGAAAGGCTTTATTTCTTGCGATCAGCATGTGACGATTTCTTCTTTTGAAAGATTCTTCTTCTCCCGGTGAAAGGATTCCTCCTTCCCGGCGCCGGGTTGGGAGGATTCTCTTTTTCCCGGCGCCGGGTCTCGCTCCCGGCGCCGGGTCTCCCTCCCGGCGCCGGCTCTCCTCCCGGCGCCGGCTGAAGCCTTCCTCCTTTCCCAGTGCGGGGTGGAAGCTTTCTTCTCTTGCTGGCAGAAAGACCAGCAACCGCGGCGACATACAGTATGTTTGTTGCTGAGCTCAGGGCGTCAAAGTCTTCATTCCCTTCTAACGGCGCCAGGGTGACGAGGAGCGCGCTTCGATTCAACAATGACACCCGGATACTCGAAATTCAAGGCGCAGATCAGCTTTAGCGTGGAGAGATGTATTTCGGCCATGAGATGGAGGATAATTAAGGAACAGCAACGCTGCTGACTGTTGCTAGCTTTCCGCTTCCGCGCCTACACACCCGCCCTTTAGGTTTCTACGGAGCCTCCTGCTATGTCGCCTACCCTGCCATTTTGAAAATGTATGTATGTATATCTGGTAAGAGGCATGTACGCTTTTAAATATTCCCTCACAGTCGCACCTGCACCAAGACGGGGATGAAATAAATTCCGGCCATTGCAGGCACCAGGCGCAATTTTCAGTGCAAAATGTCATTTTTGAAAACGTACGAAATCACCTCGCACAGCCCCGATGGCTTGGCTCCACCCACTGCCCCGCTCAAAGGGCTAGCGGCGGCCTTCCTCCGAATGCCCCGTTCAAGCTCCTTACTCGTACAAGATTCAAATCTTCCTCCCAAAGCCCCGAACGAACCATTTCCACCCAAAGCCCCGATGAAACCATTCCACCCAAAGCCCCGATGAAAATTTACACGCAAAAACGGTAAAAAAAACAGCAAAAAAAAAGTGTTTTTCTCGTTTCTGGAAAGGGCCTAGATGCTTCCCAAGTCTCGGCTGAAGGGCCCGCAGCAAGGACTTGCTTGAAAACCCCAAAAGACTGGATGGCGGCATGAGGCAATCTTGAATACTACTTCTACTACATCGGCACTAATGCAAGCCTAAAAGGCTTGAGGTCACGGGGTTTTCCTTCATTCCATCCGGTTCTGCTTCTTGCATCAACGCGTCTGCCAGGCATACATGGAAGCAATGCAGAAACAGACTCTGGTCCCTGTTCTGTTCCCGTTTGAGACATGCAACGTTCAAGGTCCATCGTAGCAATGCTCTTTTTCAACCAGCGTTGTGCAAAGCTTTGGCACCCAAGCCGCTGCTCCTGTTTGCTCTTTGCTGTGGCCTTTGCCTTTCTAGGGCTGGCCTGTTTTAATTTCCCGCTTAGCATGCTTAGCAAATGAAAATGGAATTGGTAGTGTTCTGCAAGCCGTGCTTGAAACAGCTACAGGACTGAGCATGGGGGTTGAATGAGAGGGCATTGCTGCAGCTTGCTGCTCCCAGTGGCTCGGGCGTGCCTTGACGGCAAGCTTCCCCAAGTTGAGAGCTTTCCCCATGAAGGCAAGGATTCGAACGCCCCGTGGTGAGTTGCCATCTTGACGAAGGCAACTGCCGCTAATGCTCTAGGTGTTGCCTGCGTTAGCCTTCTCCGCGACGTGCCCAGCGCAGGGTCGACTGTGAAATATGGCAAAGGGCGTTTCGCATGCTACTTGCATGGTTCTCGTCGCAGGAATTCAAGGCAACATTGCGAAAGAAACAGGTGGCCACTGAGATCAGGTTGTACATGCGGTTTCATACATGTTGATTTTCACAGGTACATGCTGTTGAAGTAGCCCCCAAAGGACAAGAAGTGCCCAAGCGAAGGCTAAGGATTTGCTAGTGCTCACTTGCATGGGTCTGTCCTGTACTCGCCATTGCTTGTCGTAGAACAAACTTACATTGCAATAGCAGAGGTTGTGGTTGAACCAAACTACATGGGGTCTTGAAATGTGTTCCGGTAGAAGATTCAGTGAGCGTTTGCAAGGCTATTTAATCAGAAATATCTGTTCAATGTAGCTAGGTTGGAAACCCCCCCGAAGCCCCGCTCCACCCAGTGCCCTGCAAATTCTTTCCTCCAACTGGGAGCCATGTCCATTAGCGAAGTGTGTGGGTCAGATAATTCGATGGACAGTGAGCCAGGGCTGAGCCGATTCCGTAGCAGCACACGCTGCTCAAAGTCGTTGTCATTTGATTTTGCCTCCATATCTGAGATATATCAAGAAGATCGCTACAAGTGACTTCACATTTGCCATGGTAGATAGTCCCTTCCCACTAATAAATACCCCCATACAAACCTCGGTTCAGTATTGGATTTGACTAACTGGCCAGCAGGAATCCCCAGGCCCTAGTTTGCATCATAGTCGCTACAAAGTTGGGATGTTAATCCCACCCCACTATTGTAAACACCCCCAAAAACCATGGTGTAGTAGTGGATTTGCACATATTTTGGACCATAGAATGGGCATGTTTAATAATATATAGGAGGAAAGGAGTAGAAGTCATAAGTTGGGATTACTTACACTAGCCACCAAACCCCAATAGCCACCGGTCACCCCAGTATTCCCTGCCCAGACAGACGTGGGATGGGATAAGACCACTCAGAAACGACTCCCTATTTCTATATAGATATAGACTATATATAGAGTTAGAATGACTTAGATCTATATGTTTCTCCTCTATCCACCCGGGTATGTAGAACTTAGAACTTACAAATTGCAAGTGCTATCAACTTTTTACCTCAGTATCACTTAACAGTGGGAGAACAGTTGATTAGTGCACCCCAAGGCATAAGTTGATTATCCCTATAAATTCTTTATAAATCCACTTTTTTTCCAATTAATGTCACCCAAGATGTAAGTACCATCTGGTCATTTAACATAGCCATGGAAAATCCCTTCTGAATAGAGGTATTAATGGGAAAATCATCTATAAATGGGCCATCTATACCATAGCTATGTTAAATAACCAGAGGGTAAACCCATATCATCCCATTATTCACCATTGCTAACCCAATGTTAAACCATTAAATCACCATTAAATTATAGCATATATACCATACATGGATCATATGGGTAAGTAACTTCCATTGATCACCCACATTTTCCACTTCCCAAACCCCCCGCTGTCCCCGTCGAGGCCCTCCACTGGGCGGTGGCACCGCGGAAGTTCGCCTGGGCTCCGGACCCCGCGCCTTGCTGGTGACTCAGGACCTACCCGCAGGCGCTGCTGGGAGCAGCAGGGCGAAATCCCAGGGTTTTTTTCATGAGGATTTAATGGGGGTTTAATGGGGATTTAATGAAGTTAGTCATGATTAGTCACTATATAATGGATTAATAGTGATTGTAATGGATGATTAATGGTGATTAATGATGATTAATGAATGATTAATGGTGATTAATGGATGATTAATGGATGATTAATGGTGATTAATGGTGATTAATGGTGATTAATGAATGATTAATGAATGATTAATGGTGACTAATGGTGATTAATGGTGATTAATGGTGATTAATGAATGATTAATGGATGATTAATGGTGATTAATGGTGATTAATGGTGATTAATGGTGATTAATGGATGATTAATGGTGATTAATGAATGATTAATGGTGATTAATGGTGATTAATGGTGATTAATGAATGATTAATGGATGATTAATGGTGATTAATGGTGATTAATGGATGATTAATGGCGATTAATGGTGATTAATGGTGATTAATGAATGATTAATGGTGATTAATGGATGATTAATGGTGATTAATGGTGATTAATGGTGATTAATGAATGATTAATGGTGATTAATGGATGATTAATGGATGATTAATGGTGATTAATGGTGATTAATGAATGATTAACGGTGATTGATGGTGATTAATGGTGATTAATGGTGATTAATGGATGATTAATGGTGATTAATGAATGATTAATGGTGATTAATGGTGATTAATGGTGATTAATGGTGATTAATGAATGATTAATGGATGATTAATGGTGATTAATGAATGATTAATGGTGATTAATGAATGATTAATGGATGATTAATGGTGATTAATGGTGATTAATGGATGATTAATGGCGATTAATGGTGGTTAATGGTGATTAATGAATGATTAATGGTGATTAATGAATGATTAATGGTGTTTAATGGTGATTAATGGTGATTAATGGATGATTAATGGTGATTAATGGATGATTAATGGATGATTAATGGTGATTAATGGATGATTAATGGTGATTAATGAATGATTAATGGTGATTAATGGTGATTAATGAATGATTAATGAATGATTAATGGGTGATTAATGGTGATTAATGGTGATTAATGGTGATTAATGGTGGTTAATGAATGATTAATGGATGATTTATGGTGATTAATGCATGATTAATGGTGATTAATGGTGATTAATAAATGATTAATGGTGATTAGTGATTAATGGATGATTAATGGATGATTAATGGTGATTAATGGTGATTAATGGATGATTAATGGTGATTAATGGTGATTAATGGATGATTAATGGATGATTAATGGTGATTAATGGTGATTAATGAATGATTAATGGTGAATAATGGTGATTAATGGTGATTAATGGTGATTAATGGATGATTAATGGTGATCAATGGATGATTAATGGTGATTAATGGATGATTAATGGATGATTAATGGATGATTAATGGTGATTAATGGTGATTAATGGATGATTAATGGCGATTAATGGATGATTAATGGTGATTAATGGATGATTAATGGATGATTAATGGTGATTAATGGATGATTAATGGTGATTAATGGGTGATTAATGGTGATTAATGGATGATTAATGATGATTAATGGTGATTACCCTCGGGGAATTGGTTACATAGCTATTGAACATGGCCCATGTATAGTTGATTTACCCATTAAAAATGGTGATTTCCATGGCTATGTTAATTTACCAGAGTGTATTATAGAACCTTAGAACATTCCCAACCTTGGATGGGTAATTTAATCATGTTGAATCCTTTAATAACATTTGCTATAGATGGGGAAAACACAACCAGCAACATTCATTGTCAAAGATTGACCACTATGAAAATGAACATTTTGCGGGAAGACCATCTATTTATATTATATCAGGAAAGTCTGTCATTAACATGGTTTGCCGGTTTGCCGGTATATCCTCCATGATTTAACGTTGATTTCCCAACGTTTGATTATATACTGGGGGTATTTAGAACACCCTTTGCAAATTGAGATGCGTAGGTCTATGTTATGGGTCAAAATTGGGAACAAACACGAGTTGAATAAACCACCACATGGGGTGTCAATTTTGATTTGAAACATCTTGAAACTGCACTTTTGAGTTCCTCCAAGTTGCAATTGTAACTGCGCAATTTAAACTTTGATTGAACGGGTCTAGTGACAGGACTGGCACAGCATGGCAGTGATCTTTGGGTCCCTCACTTGGACAGTGCAGTAAACATAACTGTGGATTACCCTCTGGTAAACGTTTACATAACTATGGAAAATCACAATTTTTAATGAGTAAATCAACTATAAATTGTAATTTTCAAAAACTATGTTAAAATACCAGAGGGTACCCATGATAGTTTCATGAAAAAGAGAGGATGTCATTGAGAGAAAGATCCCGGATACTCCCCGGCCACAACATCACAACGCCGCACCTCAAATTGATACAGTTGTGGCCGGAAAACAGCTGCAACTGAACAACCATCAAATATCATCAAATCATCAACATCTACTAAGGTTTTCTCCCATTTTCTGCCCCAAGAAAGGGGCAAAAAAACAACCGCCTTGGCGCTGGCAGGGGACATCACTTTCTTCGTGGACGTTTACACCACCTTTGGTGGTTCCCTTCGCGCCACCGTGGATGTCACGGTGGATGCATGGCCCGTGTCGAGCACCTCGGCCGTGAAGCGCTGGAAATGTGAAGAACACCCAAAATGATGATACTGGGGATGGTTGCGAAGTCCTGCACCAGTTGATAGATGGAAAACCTCCCATTATTTATAGGGTTTCAACCATCCTGTTGGTGGTGCAGGATTTCGCAACCATTTTTTGATGTGTTTTGATCATCGGTCTGAATACGAATATGATTGAATATGTTTGATTCTTATTTGGAATGTTTCATATGTTTCATAATAGAGTTGGTTCAGATTCTTAAGGTAGTTGTTCAGATAGTGTTCTGATTCGTATTAACTCCACAATATAGCTGATATATATATATAACATTCCATAATTAATATATATATAGGCCATTAATATCATTTAATATCTATGAATCAATATTAAAGACTATGGATTCCATAACTAACTTCATATCAGAGTCTTTAATATGGATTACTGTAATAAATAGGTATTGACTTTCTTATGTTTCAAGATGGGTAAAACCACCAACCAGTATTGCTCTGCAGGGCTCTGAATGGCACTTCCTTAATACATATTACCCTCTGGTAAATTAACATAGACCCTGGCAGTCATCGGGGTTGGAAGACTAGTGTCCATTAAAAATTGGTGATTTTCAGGGTCTATGTTAATTTACCAGAGGGTAAGTTGTAAATGAATATGTTTTGGATTTATTAAAGCGTCTGGCCTCGCCACCAATAGCACAATGGTATCATGTGGGGCCCCCTTAGCTAACTTGGCTTGTTTGGTGGGTCTTAGATCACATTGACAGCCAGGAAAAGATGGGCGCTGATGGTTCACATTACCAGGGGGTAGTAGTAACTCCGCTGGCATCCGACCTCCGAGACGCCACGAGCCAACGTTTGGCGGACGCCTTGAGCGCCATTGAGTTGGCCGATCCGGTGCGAGAACGTTTTTGGGGAACGTCTTTGGGGAGGGGTTCCTATAGCAGAACTAAGGTTTTATGGTGATGATTTCGAACTATCAATTGGGATATATATATATAGTACAGTAAAAGACATAACTATGATAATAATAATAATAATAATGACAATAACAATAATAACAATAATAGCAATAATAACAATAGCAACAAGAAACATGATAAGAATAGAACATGAATATATAAGTCTCGTACTGTAGTTCAATGTAGTTCACGTATACCTACATCATTTCCTGGAATTGTAGGCTTGATTCCTTCCCCCTTAACTTTGACACTACCAGGAGAGGGTGGGTTCATATTAGCGGGACAGGATTATGCATATCATAACCATAACTATAGTTAGATGGCTACTAAACAAACAAACATATATAACTAGGGGGCACCATTGAGAAGGCGATGGAGAGAGAACTAGGGGGCACCGCCATACAGCAATTAATGTGGTCACCTCTAGAGTCATCAAACAGGGTTTGCTGGAGAAATGTTCATCAAATTCAGGGATGTCCCAGCTATCCATGTTTGATGACCGGAGGGTACTGGAATTTTGGGCTCTATTGATTGCCTGAAACAGCCAGATCAGAGAGAGCGAGCGAGAGAGAGAGAGAGAGAGACACAGCATACTTGCCTGAAACCACCACAATTTGAGGATCTATAGTTTTAATATGTTTTAATTAGATTTATAGATCAGTGGCACATGCTGAATTTGAATGGGTATATAAATGAGTACATCATCTACATACGTTGGATGTTATGCATTTTAATGTGCCGTGTGTCTTTCCCAGTTGCTGCAGGGTTGCACGGTCGCACTGTGTTGAATCTACCTGGGCCTTATGAAATTATGGCCACTTGGAAGATTCTGCCAAGACATGGGGCCCCTATCAACCAGTCATTCTAAGGCAAATTGTTTTTCCTGCACCAGCTGAAGTGGTTGGTAAGGTCTTGGGGTACAAAATCTTGATGTTCCACCCTTTCGGCAAAGCTGGTTGACCAAGGACCCAATATTTCCTGACCCTCTTCCTCCAAGCAACTTCTATATGAACCATTGCCATGATCCAGTTGACTAACAACTTAGGGATCTTAGGGAGTACGTCGACAGCTCCCCACGCGTAGGCGGCTGCTATTGCCCAGCTGCACCAGAGCTCAGAGGGGATCCGCAATGACTTGGAAAGTGGATGAGATGGTCTTGGATGAATATGGGACGCACCTCCCAATTCCAATGGGTCAGCATCATTTTTTCTGCACCAAATCAGCCAACTTTGGGCTGATGCGCACCATTGTTGGACAAACTCAGGTGGTCTCAAGCCCCACCCGGGCAGTTTCAAGTGATTTCAAACGACCAACATGGAGCCTTCCCAAGATGCAGGCTCAACTGCAACTATGGCTTTGGACAGAAACATGTTTCCCCAAATAATCTCAACACTGGCGGGTTATAGGGCGGAACATCTGCCTGAAGGATCCTTAAGGTCGTTATGCTGCGTTTGGGTGTTCAAGTTTCAGTGGCGTAACCTTTACCTACATTCAGCTTTGCACTTCATCCCATGGCTCGCGAGCATTTTTTCAGAAGGATGTTTGAGGGATAACATTCTCCCCCTCAATGCTAAACCCATCTAAACACTGGAGATGGAGAGAATATGTCCTCAAAACTTCCCAGAATCCCTGGTCTAGTAAGGTGTAGTAGTCTAGTATTGGATCATATTGGATCCAATCGATGGGCCCCATATGTTGGTACTACAGGGGCTGGGATGATGTTTTGACCCCTGCGGATCAAGGCCGGTGCTCCTCACGCAGTTTCCAGCCCCTCGGCTTCACTGGTCCAAGCAGTCACCAGTGATGAGCTAGGGTAGTAGGGGGAAGCGAAAGACGGCGGAGATGTCGTAAAAGTCATGGATAGTCATCATGGGATGACTGCTTGGTAAGTACTTGGGAGCTTTCTGAAGAGGTTACATCGACATGTCAGCTCAGGAAGGTGGCAATGTGAGCAATCGTCGCAGCCTTGGGCGAGAAGATGCGGATGAATTTGAATAGTAGTGATAATGATGGCGGTGGTGGAATTGATGCACTGGATTCAGATTGGTTCGATTATGTTAGAGATACTGTGATATTTTCAAAATATTTTTTAAGAAGAGACACGTTTGTTTCCAGCTTGACGTTGAAGACCTTTGGAACCGATTCCGGCCTTTTTGCCCTGAATCATCCCATGAATCATCATTTCACGGGCAGCGGTTGATATTTTTTTCCAGGTGGATGTTGTTCATCATACGACCCGCAGCCACGCCCTCATCCCATCATCTCATAGATTCAGCTGAATTTTTACCGCACCATCCACCTTCATAGCCTCACGCAACCTTCCCATCCTCCCATACATCTAGCAAACCCCAAAAAGGATCAAAAAGGTAGAACAACTTCGATTAATCATGTTTCATCTCTATATTTTCCTAGGATTTTTCCAAGTTCTCTCATTTTTTGCTGGATGACATTGGATGACCATCCCATGATGCTCCTTGTGCTTCGGAATCCCCAATGGCAAGGTCAGCTGATGACCTCCTTCCTCGAGACCTGGTCCAAGAGCCGCGATCGTCTCCTGGCCAGTTCCGTTCGGGACCCCGGTGTAACCATTTGAAGCTGTTGGACAAGAACTGGATATACCGGAAGAAAATGTGGGGGATAAGTTTTCTTGCTATTGGCTATTGTATATATATAATATATTTAATATATATATATATGTATCTTTATGCTATATATATATGCATATTATGTATGGAATAAACAATGTTTTATACATTGTTAATTTTGTATTGTTTTTCTGTATTGGGGTATATATATATGCATAATTTCTGTGCGCGCGTGTGTGTGTGTTTTTGTCTCTAGATGAATATGGTCCTGTATGTTTGGAATTTGCTGGATCCGAACTTGCTTTCCATTTGGAGAGAAAAGCTTTACACAATCACGCAGCAATCCATGCTTTGAGGTTTCCTTCTTTGATCATATGCATATAATTACTGTTAAGTATGCCAATCTTTTGAGCAGATGCCACATATAAAAAGATACTCACATTGGTGTATATATACATATATATAATATACATCTTTATTACATACATACATGCATGCATACATGACATGACATGACATGGCATTACATTGCATATGCGTGTGCGGTAGACCCAGCCAAATGCCGGCGCACCCAGTCATACCCAGTCAATGCCTTACAAGCCGTTAAACCTTCAGGCCTCGGGCTTGCCATCATGGCCCCCACCTGGCCTGGGGCTCACTGTCTCGACGCTGATGGAGCGTGGAGCCGCAGTGGGGCCTGGCAGGGCAGATGTTTTTTGGTTTGGAGTTTTGACGGAGAAATGGATGGTGAAACATTCTAGGGCCTTCTAGGGATTTAACATGATTTCATGGCACCATCAAAAAGAGTGATGTCACCAATTTAAGCATGACAAATCTTGGTCAAATGAGATTTGAACCACAGCAATAGGCACCAAAAAAGTATAGACATGTGGATTGAACCCACAAAAATGAGGAGATTATCGCCAGCTAGGTGGCCGAGGAATTCAGCTACAGTACTTCATTAGGATTTTTGTGCAGTTTGCACTACGATCCACTCTGCACAGCTGAACAAAATCCAAGATTCTTTTGACAGGTGCACAATTAGTTTTTTTTTGGGGGGGTTGTGTAAATATATCAATTGTGGTTTCTATATATTTCTGTCATTGAAAGTCCTTCCGCAAGCATCAGGAAATCAGTCCCTCAAAGTTTCTTCGCTTCTTCGCCCAGAGAGGTCTCTTCGGCCTCTTTGCTGGCGATTCGTGGGTGCAGATGCGCAACTGGAATGTTCCAAAGCAATGAGGCGAGACGGGTGAGATGGGTTGCACCATGTTGCACCATGGATTGAGATACCTAGACCTCTGCAGATTGTTTGGGATGGAAGAAATAATTGATTTTCATCCATGCCCAAGTAGTATTGTTTAACATTGTTTAACTAGTTCCACCAGTTGTTTCCATTTGTCTTGGCTGTGTCCCTGATTATTTGTTGCTGAAACTTTCGGTTGTTGGCGGCTGAAGCATCATTGGTTGCAAATTTCTGGTCCACACCCCCACCTCGTTGTACAAATTCAGGCCGCTAGTTGCTGCTTCCTTTCCCAGTGCTTCTGTGATCGATGTGTCCGGGATCTCGCAGATGGTGCAAAGGTGCGTAAGGGGGGATTATCTCATAATTTTATATAATTTTCACATGAAAGCTGTTTCAAAATCAACGGTTCTCTTTCACTTTGATTCAAGACTCATGGTGTCAAGTGTTTCAAAGTTGGTGGGTTTTCAGATCTGAAGGTGTTACTGTGTGCTACTAGCGGGCATGGTGAGCCCTGACAAAAAGTCAGGAATTGCTGTGGACAAAGTTGGGTTCATATGGGTTCATAGTTTTGATGTGCATTGATACATACATTATATATATATACGTATATATGTATATATATATATATATATTAATATTCTCACGTTATGTTCGACAAACCTGGTTCACCATATGCAGGAATTTGGACAATTCAGGAACTATGTTGGCTGACAGCTGGGCTGAAACTCTCAGAATCTCGGGGCGTGACATACACACAATGGCGCCATATGGATCAATCCATCTTCAATTACACTTTTTTGGGTTCCACGCCCATTGTATCCAGTGTCCCAGAGGAGATTGCAGATGGCAAGTCCTGATTTTGTTCATCTATTTTCCAGCCTAGCTGGGATGATGACGCCACCTGGCCTTCATATTCTTCATGAAGGCCCGGTCACCTAAGGCTTCGCTTGATGCCTGAGCGCTGCCCTGAACCCATCCTGCAACCAGAGAAGAGGCGGGAAGGGTTGGAGGAAACTGCCGGAGATGGCTAGGGCTTACCCCGCAACCGGGGCCTGGCTTGGACCTACTCGAGTTTTGAGATTGATTCAATTTGACAAGAACCATGAGCAAATAAGTGAGATAGATGAGTGACTAATATTGGCTAGCTATAGGTTTTCCCGTTTTCCATTCTACTTGTCAGTTCGAAGCAAATGCCCCTAGTTGGCGGAATGGACAGTTTTGCCATGGTCGCAAACCATCTGCTATTGTATGACGGATGACCATCCACGTGAGAATACATAGAGAATATCCCTGCAACATGCACCTACAGGTATCCATAGACAAGGCGTATTTACATGTATTTACTGGACCCAATGGGCAAGTATGTTTCGATGTTCCAATTGTGAGGTTCTTTCAGAAAGATATCATGAAGTAGACTGAAGGTTTCTTCATGTCGATCTAAGCTTGCAATCCCAGGGATGGACTCAATTGACATGTTGTGGATCAAACTTTATATTGTTGTTTGAAGTTTCAACGAACTGGTGATGATGATTGCAGTATTGTCATGTATTGTCAACGTTCGGTCTTGTTCGTTGTTTCTATGTGCATTTGTGTGTGTGTGTGTGTCATGTTTCTGATTACACATATGTTTATCTGAATCACAAATTTAAAAAGGATAATGGATATTGCCGATGGATATATACACATAATTACACATATGAATATACATATGCAGCACACACACATATATATATATAATATTAGTATATATATATATATTTGTATATTGGTATATATATATATATCTAAATATATCTAAATATATATATATATACATGTTGGTTTATATACTATGGTCCCGTCCTCCGTCACTCTACCCCCCATGGGTTAGGGAAGGGGGAGATCTCATATGGGGGCATATATATATATATATACACATAAGGTATAATAATACATAATATATATATATATATATATGTACATGTTACATAATACACAGAATACACACATACACGTATATATACACACCACATATAATTATAATAGTATGGTTTGATTTGCAGTATGCTTGCCAAATATCCCTGGATTTTTCTCATATATTTGGCTTCAGGCTTGCCTCCTCCCTGATCCGATCCCTCACGGACGTGGCCTTCATGGACACGGCTACGGCAACCACGCAGGCGGAGGGCGGGGAAACAGTCTGTTTTTTTAGTGATGATTGAAAAACATGGGGAAATAAAGCAGTGGTAGTCATTCATGAAAAAATAGGGGTAAGACTGGACATATCTTACGGCGTTTATGGACATCCTCAATGCCCTCTCTTGCCAAGTACTGTATCATGTGATTATTCTGAGGGGCACTGTTTGGTGGTTGGAGTGCTAACATGACAGTGGTTGGTTTAAACTCACCTCTGCATCCCTTTTTGGACCAGCAATTCTTGATCAAGCTTGTGCAATGTCAACGGCTTCAAGGGGCTTGCCACATGAACCAATCACTGGAATGGAAACTTTCTCATTGAAAGAAAAAGAACACAACCAGAAAAGAGCAGCGTGGCATACCGGCAGTCTTGAATATTAATGCCAACACCGGATCAATAACCCCCCCAGAAGGTCAGAACTCTACCTTGTAGGTCATTTTCTTAAACACCCCTTAATAATAAGCAACTCTGAACCATAAAACTTTGGATATGGCTTACGTCAATTAGATCTTAATAGAATTCCATTGGATTTGTTAAAATCTCATGGATCAGAAAGGTGGTTGATTAATCAGGGGCAAACCGTGGTTATTATTAATGGGGGACATGGGCTCAAGGGGGGTACCCTTTGGGAGCTATCCAAACTGATGATTTTTATAAAGATTTTAATTAAAAATCGATCATTTGGGGGATAGTTGGTTTTTGAAATTTTCAATGATCAGCTTAAACCTTGAGTATAACAATGATGATAAAAAAGGTAAAAAACAATTGGAAATAAATAGAATTGGAAATAAAACTTGTTGGATAAACAACTGGATTTCAGCAAAGGAGGTTGATTAATCATGTCCTAGCCAAACGGTTTATTAATCCTGGGGGACCACCTGTTTTTAAATTGCATTTTTTTTGGGGGGAGGAGGAGGTTGATTAATAACGGGATGTTGATTAATCCTGACTTGACATTACTAAACTTGTTATATATCCGCATTTGCATCACATAGCATCAGCACAATTTCCTATGGACTTCGACCGCCGCACCTCTTGTGCGAAGGTCGACTTCGCAGTGTGAGGAGGACGCCCTCCCAAAGGATCCAATACTTAGAAGCCATGGCTCTTTTCTTCCGGTGTGGCCATGGTTCCTGTTCAGCCTTGCCTTTGCGTAGCCCTACTAGGAGGCGACGTGAAAATGGTTTTGTTGGCAAACTGCAAGGCCATCCTGCCGGGCATTCGAAAATGTGGTCGCTCTTTGCCTTGCTTGCGCTTCGGGCATCCGGCCTGTCAACCTTTGCAGTCCCTAATGAACGAAAGCAGCCTCCTCTTCACCTCCAACGCCAGAAAGAGGGCTTGGATGTGTATCAATCTGCCGGAGCCGAGTTTTATGATGCCATTAACCTTCCAGGCGTTCGAATTGAGCCGACCAAAGAGGAGCACAGACTTGCATCCAGAATCAAAGCCAGTGGAAATGGAGAGCCTGGTCAGTGGAGCCAAGTGCAGCAGATCCTTTCCGAGTACTCTGGGTATAGCCCTCTAGTTCTAAATGCTGCGATGCGGGCAGCCTTGAACAGCAGAATGTACCCCGAAGGTGCAAGGTTGTTCGAGCGTTTGCGAAGATCGAATGCACCTATCACTTTGCCCGTGTACCCCACTGCTTTGAAACTCTATGGAAAGCTGCATGACGAGGGGGAAGTTAGGAAGTTGTGGAAAGAATTGGTGCACTTCGAGGCTGTGAACTATGTTGTTGTCCAGGCGTGTATTGACGCGTATGCAGACAATGGGAATATTACAGGCGCAGCAGAAGTGTTAGAATACTTGGAGAACAACACTATTCAGATGAACGCTCGGCACTTTACATCTGCCATCAATGCTTGTGCCAATTCGAAGGAAAACTACAGGGCACGGGCTGCCAAATTCTTGCTAGAAAAGTTGCTAGAGAAGGGACTGCAACCGAGCATAATAACATACTCATGTGTGATACGATCAATGCAGCAATCTGAAGGCCAGGAGCTGTTGGACCTCGTTTCCAATATGACCGCTCAGGGTGTGAAGGCAAACAATGTGTTTGCGGAAAATTTCTTCTACCAGTTTTTGAAGCAACCAAAAGAAGGTTCCTGGACCAGCAAAGCGGCTGTCGTTGCTGACCTTCGGAAGCTGCCGCGAGAGAATTTGAAGAGGGCCAAGGATGTTATGAATGAGTTCTTGGCTGCAGGTGTTGAGCTCAATGCATCTTGTCGTCGCATCAAGGCAGCTCTAGAGTCACTTCTGTGAACAGAAGAGAAGGACGATGATAGCCATGACTGCACACGCCGAACGGTCAAATCAGATTCTCATGCAACAAAGGCTGGACATCCGTGAGAGGTGAGTGTGATGGCAGCAAATGCAATGTTTTTAAAAAATAAATAAATAAATTTCAATAAATAAATAAATAAATAAAATAATAAATATAAATAAATAAATAAATAAAATAATAAAAAAAATATATATACATAATAAATATATATATATATAGATATATACATATATCTGTGTGTGTGTTTTGGTCCGGCACCAATGGCCCCGCCTAGAGATGCCAAACAAGCGCTATGCACGCCTGCGTGACGATCTCCCTGTGTGTTTCAGAACATTTGATCACCATTTCTACACTTCAAAGCTCTAGAACTGAGTCAACATGATTCAACCATCTTCACCAACGGCTCGTCGCATGCATAATATCCAAGCAGAATCCCATATTAGTCTTTAATTATATTGTTCTGGGATGTTCTGGGTTTGAGGTCTTGAACACCTCTGCAGGCCCAAACCTTGGACAGACCCGCTCCAAAAAAGCAACAAAGCATGGCAGGCACGAAGGCTTCAGACCAACTCCACAGGCGGGATGGAGCTGCCCCAAGGATGTCCTTGGTCTTGGAGGGCTACCGGCGGTAACTGGGTTCAGGAGTCCTCTACGTCCTGTTTTTGCTGGGTGCAAATCATACTTTTTGGTAAATATGATTGGCTCGTATTGAGTCCTTGTTACTGGTAGTAGTTTGAAACAGCACTTTTGGTTGGGCGAACAGTGGCCCCAGCAAAAAGCCAATATTTCTGTGGAATGATACCCGAAACCTTGGCTTGTCCAATGGAAATTGGATTCCATGTTTTCCCCAATTGGATCCAAATGGTCACTTTCCATGGGTTGACCGTTCCGGAAGGCACAGCTCTATAGAAACCTCTTATTCCCATCCGTCCTCTGGAAAATCCAAAAAAACATAGATAGACCTGAAACAGGCCAACCGCCCTAATTGTACGGTAGCAGTGTAGATATTGCGACCCATGTCCGAGATAGCTCAAAATAGGCTGTCAGAGCTTATCTTGTGGTGTGGAACGGATTCTTTGCGAAATACAAGGCTGTGCCTGTCAAGCAATTATGTTCACGCATTTTTTGAACTATGACCAGTTTGAGTTCAGACTCAACCTTATTGTTCTGCCCCCGAGTCCAGTGTTATGACAACAAACGCAGCACAGCCTGTCGCATGCAGATGGCAACGAAACAAATGAGACTTCAAGCAGCAGGGGACCATAGTTTGATCAATCTACATTTGGTGAGCGCAGGTGGTTTATTGCAACGAGTTGGTTGGCACTTATCGACATCCAGATTGTCACGCAGCATGTGAACCTGAACGGAACAGTATTTTGAGTGTATTATTTAGCAATCATACATCAAGATCTCCGGCAAACATTTCCTTGAAACAATTCTGGGGAATGGTTGTTGTAGGGGGGCTCTTGAATTGGGCAGTCTGGAACCTGCAGGTTAAAAGTTTTGCAACAGTGGGACGTGCGATTCTTTCTTGCATATGGGACTCTCCTTCAGATGGCATCCCACTGCGCTGAATGAACAGCGGGCATTTTTAGAACCAACTTCATGCAGGCTGCTACGCCTCTGTTGAATTAGAATAATTAGAATGTGAAAAAATGTTGCAAGAACAGCTGCAACTGTGGGTCATTGTTTTGCCAAATCATTGTCTTTGTTCTCCAAGTTGGTTTGTTATTGGGCACTGCTTAGGTGACACTTCCACTGCAGCAGAGGCAGGAGCTTCCAGTGGCAAGGTGGGTTGGTGACACTGCCGTGCCCCCCGCTCTTTGGAACCAAGGAAGATTCATGGTGGATCTGGTGGATGAGCTACTCTGAAACAACAGGTTATGTTTGTTGCTGTGATGGTCACCATTTCATAAATGACTTGAGCATTTGGATTCAAGATATGTTTGAAACATATTTAAACTCAGGTCGGGCAAATCGAATTGCAGTTGGTACTGTGTCAAAAATGCTGGCACTCTGTCTTTTTCATACCGAAAAAGCTCGGTAGAGCCCCTGGATGGCAATGGAGAGAGAGAGAGAGAGCCGGATGTTCATCCCCCATTCCGATGGTCCGAGAGAGATTGACTCATCACCATATCACCCCATGAGAATGTGTAAAATATGGTCAACTTGCTTGGGGTAAAAGAGAGCGAAACAAAAAGAACATATGGGTTAGTCTTTTTTTATTTTTTTTATCCTTTTCCAGAACGGGACTTAAAAAGATCCAGAAAAACCCATATCATCCCATATCTCTAGGAAACAAATCAGGGTAAAACCAGGTATCCCATTGGCATAATCCCCAACCAACCATGGTTTTGCATGGTTTTCCTACCACTTTTTGCCGGTCATGCCACCCTCAACCCTGGCTTCGTGCCAGGCCTCCGCTGCGCAACCCCTGGCATCCAGCGTGGAAGCCATGGGCTGGATCTTGAGCTCCATGGTGCGGCCGGGGAAAAACGTGAGGTGATGCCCCCAATTTCAGTGAAGAGCTTGTGGATATTCATGTCAGATACTCAAGGGTAAACAGTGTTTTTTTGGGGGGGGTTGGGGGAGGGGAATGTTTTTTTTTCCTCTGTTGTGCCCACAAAAGCTCAAGGCTCAAGTTGAGTGAATGTTCATTCGGGCATGTTTCAGTCTAGGATTTTTGTTCGGGTCATTCTTCCAAGAAGAAAGGATGAATTGCCAATATTCTGCAAACTTTTTCCTTGAGCAAATGCAAAGATATTCCAACAATATCAAACAATGGAATTGGGGAAGACTATCAGCCACTTTGAGTGTTGCTCAAACATGGGATAACAATCTGCAACTACCAACAGGCCCGCGAAGTTGGAACCATTTTCAGTGACGCACTCATTGGAGGCTTGATGACTTGATGATTTTGAGCCAAACCCCCATTGTGTTCGGGGTTAAATCATCCATTTTTTGTTGATCTAAACCCCCCCAATGGAAACTTGCAGATGTCCTGTTCTTGTTTGACTGTTGAATGTAGTCATGATTTTCTTATCCCATTTTAGTTGGGGTCACATCCCCCGAAGATCAACCCCCCATGGCACACCAGCTTGACCGGGCCAGGCGGATGCACATTATTCCCTGATCCCACATCTGACACCAGGCCGGGGGGGTTGATCCCAAGATGGCCTCCGGGTCGGTCCCGCGTTGGAGCCACTCATGGTGATGTCACCGATGTGTTGTAAGATCTTAATGGACCTTAGGGATCCAAAGTTGGATTAGTTGGATTTCAGGCTGACTCCAGGGATCTTATCAATGGGAATTTCAGGATCCTAAAATGGAGGTACTGTACCATATAAGGCCATATTTTCTGGGGATATTCTCTTATATAGGCCTTATATAGGCCTTATATATGGTAGGTACCTCCAATTTAGGTCCCTGAAATGGCCATTGAGCTTAAGTTATCCCAGAGAGATCTCCCCACCAAGGGATCTCCGCGCAGGTGAGAGCTTCGAAGTCACCTCACCTGGGCTGAAATTTTTGTCCACGCGCATGCTGCGCGGGTCCACCTTCCAAAACTACACTGAGACCCGGTGGGGGGAACTCAGGGGAGGCGCAGCTTGTGATGGTCCCCAGGATACATCAATTGTTGGTGGTGTACCCTCTGGTAATTTAAAACGTAGCTATTGAAATCTATTGAAAATGACCATAGGAATAGTGGATTTTTCATGATTTTCCCATTCAACATGGTGGATCTTTCCATAGTTTTTTGTAAACGTTTACCAGGCCGGGTAACTCCAAGGACTATCAACCAATCACGGGCTGGTGCATTGCGGCAGTGCGGTGCTTTTTTTTTGAAGGTTTCGTTGGATGATCATGGAGGATCGATGACCAAACCACAGATTGGTTCAGTCTTCTAGGTACGGCATGGTACGGCAGAAATACATTCTTAGGATGTTGTGTAGGATTATTTTAGTGGCATGTTTATTTTTTTTTGGTGGGCGGGGGGGCACGTCATGATACATCACGTCATTATTTGGGGGTGTCACAGTCAAGCTCAACCAAGGCCTTTCATGTTGGAAGTGGAGTCTGCGCCCAAGACTTTGCCCTGCTTTCCCTCCCAGATTTCAGTTGAAGTGCGTTGAACCCAAAAAAAACGTTGGTGTGGAGGTCCAACAGGAACACCCACCAATTTGGTTTGGGGTTGTTTTTTAGTACATGCTAAAATCCATTAAAATCCCCCTCCAGGTTTGCCACCATTACTCCACAGATCTCACCAGTGAGGCCCAACTTCATGAATCCAAGCAGTTGCTCGGCAGTGTTTTCTCCAGCCCTGGGGTCCACTGGGGCCCCGGTTCCCTTGGGATCTTCAGAAAACCCTGGGGAAAAGGCCCTGACTCAGACCATGTTTCTGGATGCATCCCAGCAAGAAGCTCTGTAAATGTTCAGAACCCTGTTCGCAACTTGCCAAAGTCCCCGGTTTCAAGCTGTAAGCCAGTAAGCCATGGGATATCACAGCTAAGGGACTGCTAAGGTCCTTTGCTATGAACCATCTTGCAGTTGCGTTATGCTGCTTAATCCACCAATTATTGAAATTAAACATGGCTAAATTTCTTGAATGTGTTAAAGCACATCCAGAATATCTAAAAAGATGTTGGATGCTGGTCCAAATGGTTTGCCCCCCCAACTCAGTCCCATGGTACAAGTTGTCCATCTCAACCTGCTGGCCCCAGCGGTGTGAAACTACGCCTCATCGGACCCCCTTGGGGCCCCGCAAACCTCCTGCCCGGCAGCAGTCCGGGGACAAGAAAAGGATATATGATGTATGCCACAGCCACATGCAAAAAAATAAAGTACTGGTGGTAGCATCCCTAGAATCTCGGTAATGGTTGGATACTCAACTGTATGTGTTTGGTCAACTGCTATAAGACTTGGTCAGATTCGTCAGTCCACCCCCATGGCTGCCTGTGATGTGGTCGGCAAGAAGCCCATCGAAGATTTGTGCAGCACTGACAGTGGAACCAGCTATACCTCGTCGACCTCAGGGGTCTCTGAGAAGAGGCCCCTGCCAGAGTCAGACTTTGATCCGCGCCAAACGAATTTGAATTTCTTTCATGACTTTGCCAATATCGAGAGCGTGATCTCAGGCAGGGGCGCCACAAAGGTTACAAAATCCCCAAAACAAAAAGAATCAAATGATATAGGTGTAGAGGTGTGATGTGTAGAGTATAGACATGTTGTACAGCTGCGAAAATCCAGGTTCTTATGCTTGACAAACTTGTCACATTTGAGCCCAACTCATGTTCTGTACTGTACCTAGACCTTTGACGTTTCCCACAGGGTCTTCCAATTATGTTTTAGTGTGATTGTTTTAAAAGTATGTTTATTCTTCCTATAGTTGTAGTCCTCTATCCCATGTAGCAGTGGTTTGCTCATACGTTTGCATATCATATCATCATATCACATCCCCATCGTTTGGTTGTTTTGAACATCTTGAAACATGTGCAACACACTTCAGCTCACTTCAAATCCCCATCTCTTAACCCATACATGGTCATATCTTATTGTTTTACCTGACATGATGGGTATATATTATGGCATGCACATATATAATGAATTATAATGGTATGGTATATTAATATGTTTTCAATATAGTTGGACGTCTGACTATATACCACATATACCACAGAAATTACTCTACTTCGTGTGATCCCCACCAAGACATGTCAGGACGATTCAGGACGTATATTTGGACATATATTTAGTATATTCTGACATCCTATCTGACATATATTCTGGCATATATTCTGGCATTCTATCTGGCATATATCCTGACATTCCACCTGGCATTCTATCTGGCAGTCTATCTGGCATTCTATCTGACATATTTTCTGACATTTCATCTGACATATATTCTGGCATTCTACCTGTCATTTATTCTGACATATATTCTGGCATTCTATTTGACATATATTCTGGCATATATTTTGGCATTCTATCTGGCATTATATCTGACATATATTTTGGCATTCTATCTGACATATATTCTGGCATATATGTTGGCATTCTATCTGGCATTATATCTGACATATATTCTGACATTCTATCTGACATTTTATCTGGCAGTCTTTCTGGCATTCTATCTGGCATTCTTTCTGGCATTCTTTCTGGCATTCTATCTGGCATTCTATCTGGCATCCTATCTGACATTCTATCTGGCATTCTATCTGGCATTCTTTCTGGCATTCTTTCTGGCATTCTATCTGGCATTCTATCTGGCATTCTATCTGGCATTCTATCTGGCATTCTATCTGGCAGTCTATCTGACATTCCTACATGAGGTCCGGCAGGGAACACTTGGCATGGATACTCGCGGTTGAGGTCCGGCAGGGAACACTGGGCGCGGATGGTCGTGGTTGAAGTCCGGCAGGGAACACTGGGCGCGGATGGTCGTGGTTGAGGTCCGGCAGGGAACACTGGGCGCGGATGGTCGTGGTTGAGGTCCGGCAGGGAACACTGGGCGTGGGTGGTCGTGGTTGAGGTCCGGCAGAGAACACTGTGGATCGCGGGTCGCAGTTGAGCCAGGACGACGAGGACGACGAGGACGACAAGGACGACAAGGATGACAAGGAGGACGAGGAGGACGAGGAGGAGGAGGAGGAGAGGAGGACGAGGCAGGAGGAGGCGGAGGAGGAGGAGGAGGAGCAGGAGGAGGCAACTGACATAAAATCTAACAACCCTCACCTGGCAGGTGGGGAAAAACACCATAGATTTCCATCCCAGCTGTTTTATCTGGACGACTTCCAGGATCCTTTACCAAAGTGAAGCAGCTCAGCAGCTGTTGCCGTGGCGAAGGCTCCATCGAGCTGCACCGCTTCACCTCCGCGGTGGGCTCCGCGGCGTCGGAGGAGGTGGTGGTGAAGAAGCTGCCGCTGCGGCGGGTGAACGTCAACAAGGGCAAGGTGGCGAGTGAACAGGCCATGGCCATGGAGATGACGGCAAAACCATGGCTTAAAAGCCATGGTTTTTTCCATAGAGACTCATAAGGCGTCAAGCAAAGTCATCAGATATTCTGATGGATGAAAGTTCAAGCATCCCCAAATGGTGCTTGTTTCGGATTGAGCTTCCCACGCTATACTTAGATGGAACATGGAGTTAGTTAGGGAGTTTTAGTAAATGGACCATGGTGATAGATAGATAGATAGATAGGATAGGATAGGATAGGATAGAATAGATTTGATTAGATTAGATTAGATAGATAGATAGATAGATAGATAGAGAGAGAGAGAGATAGATAGATAGATTGATAGATTGATAGATTGATAGATTGATAGATTGATAGATTGATAGACTGATAGATTGATAGATTGATAGATTGATAGATTGATAGATATAGAGTGGGTTATAACCCAGCTACTCACCGGGAATCGTTAATCCCATTGCCCATCTGAGTAGAAACATGAAAGAATCCCCTTAATCATTGGAGATGGATATGGCAGGAAACTAGTGATATACTGCCAATTGGGTCAGCATGGCATTGTTTGTGAATCTGTAGTGTTTAAAGATTTTACACATGTTCAACCATGAATCATACATGAATATAAATGATACACATGTTTTTGTATGGTTCATTGCTGGGTTAGCAGGCAGCATCATTCTGCTCACCTGGTAGGTTTAGATTGGATTTACAAGGCATATCGATCCATATAACTTATTGTAACATTTTTGCCAGCAGACTGTCAGCAAGGAAACCAAATTGAGCAAGCAAGCAAATAGGGTGATTTCACGAGTTCACCCAGAAAACATCGGGATTATGTTTATCATGTCACGATGAAGCAATTCGTCCACAAAGGGGATCAAATTGTGGCAGTTCAATGCTGTTCATACATGTGATGATATGTTTGGGTGTAACATTCTGATAAAAACCCAATGCGTGTGGACTTTCAGAAGTGTACAGCAAATATATGCAAATATGCCACATGCCCCACAAAAGATGAAAAGGTCACTTGTCATCAAAATAGTCACTGAGATGACTCTTAGATCTTTCGTGATTTGAACACCGCAACTACTGTCCCGACACAGGCACTTTTGTTTCGCCACGCTTCCCGGGACTCAGAAGACCCTTTGGCTGAGATCGGAGTCTTCGGCTACCTGCGGCAGTGTGAGCAGGTCCCAGAGTACATCCTGGAAATGCGGGTGGCGTTTTTCGCGCAGGAGGACGTTTGGCTGGTGTTGGAGCACGCAGCTGCTTGGACGCTGATGGTTGCTGATGTTTTACCGGTTGGGGGTTATCCAATGAAAACGGGATGGTTAGCAAACTTTTAGTGTAGGATGCTAGATCCCCAAGTACATTCCAGTTATTTTGCCTATCTAAAACCATGGACCATCGATTTTTTTGCAGAGTCATCCCAGCACATCTAAGGATGGTGGAGATTTGTTTGGAATGATCTCCAGTCACCATCCCAGCAAAGATCTCATCTGGTTGTGGTCCTGGCAGTTGCTGCAGGCGGTCGCCTTCCTCCATAAGCAGCAGATTTGTCACAGAGACATTTCTCTGGAGAATATTTTGCTGAGCAAAGGTGATATTCGTTTGATGGATTTTGGGCAAGCAGTTCGTCGCTCGCTGGTGGTTGAACTACCATTTTATTGAAATAAAAATTGGAATGGGTTTAATAGTTGGCAAGCCACCGGTTGAAGATGATTCACCCTTTGCCTCCAACACGACCATTCCCTAGAGGCGATCTTTTGCGGATCCACTGGATCCACGTTCCAAGTTCCTGCATGGAAATCTGAACATGTCGGTAATTGTTTTACAACCAGTATTGAAGTGCGATACTTGGGAACCTGCCAAGGTAGCCAATCTTCATCTGGTCAATTGCTTCGCTACTTCCTGGCCACCGGGAAACCTTACTACCGGCCCCCAGAGACCTACATCCCTGGCAGCCAAAGGCTACAAGTGATGGTGCCTCCTGGCCTATCGCCAGGGCAGGTGGCGTTGGCCTATACCCCTGGACAGGACTGCTGTCACCTGCGCATGGATCTACAATGCTTACAGGGCAAGAGTAATTACAGTAGTTAGGATGCCTTTACAACATGCACACCGGACATGTTATGAGAGGCAAATGTTGACACAATTTTGCGCTGCGGCTGTCTGGAGTTCCCAGAGATTACCATGTGTGGATCAAAGCCTCACCCACCAGAAAGGGGCACATGAATATTCCACATGTTAGGATATTCTACTATCATAGTTTATCAATAGTCTACTTGTCTTTAAGATATTTAAATGACATTATTTAACATGACTTTGAGTGTCGCCCAATCCCCAGCTCTCTTTTAATTCCTGCCTGGATTCACCAGGAGTTCTTGTGCCACGTGCGTCTCCTGGACGTGGAGGCATCGGTGGCAGAGCCCTACGGCTACACGGCCCCGGCGGTGGATATCTTTGCGACGGCCGTCAGCGTCCTGATCATGTTCTTTGCCGCGCCCCCATGGAAGCAGGTGGGCCTCGTGCGGGATGCTCCCAGGTGTAAGTTATGTGGGAAGTGAGTCATGAGTGGTTTTCAAATGTTTTCAACTTCCCTGCCAAAGATACTGATCACAGCTGCCAGGTACAAATGGGTTATCCTATGTGTAGCTACAGAAACTCAGGGAGAGAGAGAGAGGGAGTTCCACAAAAGAGCAAGTAAAAAAACACTGAGATTCGTGTAACTCCACACATCATGTATATAAGATTTCATGTATTTGGGATCCTCCGCGCCATGAGGGTCTGAAAACCTCACCTCAAGTACTTGTTGAGCATGACTCCCCCCACATATGCCAAAAACCCTGGCAGGCCAGGCCCACGGACAGCTACTTTCAATGGGTCCAATCCAATGGCCTCTTGGCCTTGGCCAAGAGTTGGAAGAAGCCGCTGCCTCTGCCCATGACGGACCTCTTGGGTCGGATGCTGCGTTCCAACGCCGAGCACCGCCCGGCCGCCGAGGAATGCCTGGAGCACAGCTGCTTCGCCACGCTGCGCTCGGCCCCGGTGGCGTTGCGCACGGCGGGCGACCTGCTGGGCTTGGCCCCAGGTGCTGAGGCGGTGCCACGTCTGGCAGGCGACTGCTACCGAGAGCCCGAGTGGGTGTGCCGCTCCGCGGGGCCTGGCATGGCCATGGATTCGGCTGCGGGAGGAGAGTGGGATCTGATGCTGGGGGATCCCTACCATGAACCTCAGGGAATGGAGTTGATGAATGGTGAATGTGAGGAATGGCAGCAGCTCCTTTGTGAGGCACCGCCGCCCTTAACCTTGTTGCGGGAAGATAGGACCGAAATCAAGGAATTGGATGCGGCATTCCTGGCCTCACGTGAGGGCGGGTAACTTCCTTTAGATGCTGAGGAAAGCAGTGTGAATTCACGGTGTGAGAGGCAAGATTTCAGGAGCCTTGTGTACAGTGAAGGGTTCCCAAGCTGCCTTCACAGGCGCCAACCTGTCCCGCTGAACTGCTGAAACAAGTAACAGTAGTGACATGACACTTTTTGATACTTTTTGACTTTTTGCTGCTATTGGGCAAAGGTACTGTAATGGAATATGACGGAATCTGAATCAACATGGATCAATAATGATCAATATGTGCACGACTCGAAGGAAGCCTCTGTACCTGTGAGTTTGCGGATTCCTTCGCGCCCTCAGCAGTCGCCAAATTTCCTGGAACATCTGAAACCTCACATTGGAAGAAGCGCTAAAGATGCTAAAGAAGATGTTGATAGTTGTTGCTATTGGACTTTGCTACTTTTGTTGGCAGTCTGGTTCTGTCTTGTTTTCATTTCTTTGAAATTTGGGATAGCTACGCCCCAACTGACTGCGATATGAAACTTTCGGAGTTGTTCCCTCCGCGCAGCACTGCCAGGTTGGCTCTATGCGGCCTTCAGCCTCACAGATACCTTAGGATATCCTGTTTGGGCACCCAGCCATGATGCGTGGCTTTTGAACATGGTGTCTGAAAATTTCGGGGATGCATGGATCCAAATTGAGTGTTCATCATCATTTTCTTTTCCCTACTCGAAAATGGTGGTTTTACTAGCCGTTTTCAGACACACCCAACGACTTTTGCCATGGGAGGTTGGAGCTAAAGCCTCTTACAACCTCACAGGGGCCGAGGCAGTTCTGTTGCGGCCGGTATGGATTGGCAGATTGGAGGAAGGCAGGTGGATGATGCTGAATAGGACTTTACATGACTTTACTATATCATTAATACTATATACTTTAGTCACTAAGTCATTTTTAATCCATTTTGGGAGATATATGTTGGTATGTGGTTGGTCTGGTTTTTCATTTTCTTTTGGTGGGATGCGGTAACATAGCTGAGTGATGGGGATGCCTCATTGCGCTAAATCCATCCTCGGAGGGTTTTTGAACGCAATAAGCCACGTCGGCATTGAGATTGGTAGTGGCGTGGAGTGTATTAATTATCCACCTTAGCACCCTGGAATGTACTGGTAATCAAACAATGGCGATGGAAAATCCACCATTTGTAGATGATTACCATTAAACCTTCATTTCTAGTGGATTTTCACGGGTTTTCCATTGCCGTGTTTGATTCCCAGAGGGTGCCATTGATAACTACCCTACTTGCTGTAAATCTTCGGTGCCAGGATTCAGATGAATTGTCCGGTGGCCCACCAATTGCCGGGTGATGTCTTCGCCTTTGAAAAAAAAATGACGCTCAATCATCCCCAGTTTCACCATGTTTCACCCATAATTATACAGTTTAAAAAAAACATCCAAGAATGTTCAAGAACCGCTTGATTTCGAGACATGTTCTGACACAGTCTTTGGGCATTGTCATGTTTTTTGGTGGGGGCTCCATTTCATATACAAACTCAAGGAGTCAGAAGGAAAAGCTCCGCCTTCAAATCTCCCGAGGCCTTTCCTCGCCTTTTTAGCTGTTGGAGACTCCGTGGGGGTTCCACGGCAGGTGGGGTTTCCGCAGGACGAATCACACATGGTTTTTCTATGTTTTTCTGATTTAGCCAGCTGAGGTTCAGGAAACATTCAAACATGGAACCAAACCAGACCCAGCAGCTCCCTACACCAAGACCTGATCAAGAGATATTAAGAGATCAAGCCCTGTACCCTGCTTCGTGGGTCTGGGCAACATTTGTCCAACAGATGCAATCTGGTAATCTGGTACTTGTCAGTCTTTGGATGTACTTCACTCCTACTGTCCCATCATGTCTTAGTGCTAAAGATGTCACACAACAGGTCAGGCCCCCGAACTTTTGATTTGAGCCCCCAAGATCTAAGATACCATATTTGAAAGTTCTTGGAGCTATAATGTATATGTAATGTATATATATATATTATAGTATAAATAACTATAATATATATATATATATACGTATATAATTACTTATATAGTATGTAGACATGGACATAGATATATTACCATGTACAATGCTCATGTGGAGTGTCAGCTTTATCAAGTTCAACCCACAGGCGAGGGCGGAGTTTTTTGCTCCGAGCTATGTGGCCCTGGGCTCTGAGCCACCGGCGAGTTGTTACAGGCGCCCCAGCGCCGGGCCTGATGGGCCCCACATCAAGGGGCTGCAAAACCACTGTTTTTCATAGGTGAATCGTCTAGAATAGACTATACATGGGCTACACCTTCCATAGCCATAGCTATCTTAAACTATCTTAAACTACCATATCTTGTCATGATGGTTCTTGTTCCCATTCTTTTGGAAGATGTGGAGATGTTTCAAAAGCGACATCTGTTGGTCGCGGCTCATTGAGGGGTACGAGACCACCCTACATACCCTACAGCCTACATCTCAGAAACTTTGTTCCTCGGGGGTTTCCCTGCCAACCACCAGGACTAGATGCCCATTTGGATGATGGTTCCATGGGTCCAACAGACATTCCTCTTGGTTTTGACCCAGGTTTTCGGAGAACCTACATGTTCCATGAAACATTGGAAGGGTTCGCCCTGAAGGGTGGCTTCCCCATGGTAAAGCCGTAAACATATCTTTTTGGGGCTTACTATATCATGTCAATGTTGATGGTTCATACATTGATATTATAATTTACTTGGGACATCTTGGGACTATCATCTTTTTTGGTAATACACCAGCTATGTATGTATAGTTACATGTAGTTGCCAGCTAATAAATACTATGACTATGACTATACATTCCATTCCATTCCATATACTTTTTGGATGTGAATTATTACTATGCGAAATATGATGACATATGACAATAATTCACCATCAGATCCAGTTCTTATTCAAACTGCCATTATTACTGGTAAATAAACATCGAAAATCACCCATCTTTATGTGGAAAACTGGCAGGGTCGGGCGGATTTGCGGTAAATCCCATTGAGCTTCCAGCCTCGCCCTCGACGCACGGCAACCCTCCACGGCTCAGCGCAACGCGCAGCGCGCAACGCGCGGGCGCCATGGCGTCCGTGCCGTCGTCGCCGGAGCAGCGACTGCTGCCCTCGGAGTCGCAACGATGCTGGGTGATGACGTCCTCAGGGGTTCCCTGGGGCAATCCCCTGGAGTCACTACGTTCCCTGGGAGGAGTTTGGGGGTTGGCAAATGTTGGCAATTTGTGATTGGGATCACTGGATCAGATGGAGGATTTTAGGTGATTTTGGGGGTTGGATTTATTTAGCATAGATGGAAAATAGCCTTTTATATTGGACTTAAAACATCACTGGGTGGAGAGTTTCCTCTGGTGACTTTTGCTCTATAAATGGAAAATAACATAAAATCACCATAACAAGTATTGTTTGATGACTACATATGACTACCAAAGATTGACCATGACAAGAAGATGGTCTCAATTGGTCTCAAACATGTGAACATCCCCTGCCAAACCAATATTAGGGGAATGGGATTATATATATATCTTATATATGCATGCATGAATGCAAATCAGATAGGTAAATATTAGGCGAGTGTAAATTTAAAATTACATACATCTCGTACAGGTAAATCGCAATATAGTCAAAATAAAATAGATTGCAAATAGGTGCCTGGAAGTGAATGACAAGCCAGTCAAGGAAATTTTTGTTTTTCTGGCTGCTGGTTCCAAGTATTTGTTTTTTTCGACCACGAAATGTGTGATATACAATTGACTTTTAGAAAGAGATAGGGTTACAGAGAGAGTGGGTTGTCTTAAAGGAAAACCTAAACGAAACAATGGCTTTTCCCATCAAAATAGACTCAACATTGTTTTTTATTTCCGGTACATTTTATTCCTTTGAACGACATCTGCGATGTTACATACGTAGTTTTTTTGGTTTGTCACAAGGTTTATTGGCCCATTGATGTACAAAGTCACAACGAAGTTTGCATCCTAAGCTGCTTGTCTTGCAGACTCGGGGAGTTGCTCAAAACCAAAGACTAGCCGAAGTGAAGCTGCTATGGCTGTAAGGTTTATTTTTTGGAACCCACCGGATCCCCTGGAGGCCGAAACGCTCAGGAATCCCATTTCCAGTCGGTCCAGTGCCGAGAAACGATTGGCAGCTGCTGGACAATGCTGCGCAGAAAGCAGTGGCCACTGTCAGCATGCATCTTGATTGGATTTTGATGCGGGAAACTATGTCCAGTAGCCAACCTGGCAAGCGTAGGTATGTGTATATATGTGTACTTACTTTTGTGGCGGGAAATAGGTTTGGCTGACAACAGATTTGCCATATTTTTTTTTGCATCAATCAACCAATTGACCGGTGGCTTCATACGTGCATCTTTGCGCATTTCAGGATCGACTGCTTGTGGGAGAAGTTGACAAAAGTTAGTGGCTGGGCAAGCAGATGCTTCATAAGATGGGTTTATATGGGTTTAATATGGTTCAATGGCATGTTCAATGGTGTGTTTAGATGGTTTTGTATTGTCTAGCCATATATAAAATTCAGGGTTGGTAAATATCCGAAGGGAACATCACCCAACTGTTGGGGATATATATAATTTAGAACAGTTACTTGAAAGTGATGTTCAAAATCCCCAATCCAGGACATTTACAGTACCAACTCTGTTTTATGTAACTTGTTAACAGGAGGGTTTGGTGTTTATGTATGTTTATGTTCTTCCATGTTGTTGGGTTGTTTTGAGCCAGCTGTCGGTCAGTGTTCCATGATGTTTCATGCGTCCATCCGTTTGTCCATGCGTATGTCAAAGATGTGCGCCGGGCCATACAGAACCCTCATGAATGGCAAATACTGTCGACGTGGACATGGCCAAACATGACAGATTGACATGTTTTGCTACCTTTTCCGCCAACGACAAATTGTGCTTGTTATTATGTAATGTAATATTATCTAAAGATGTTATCGGATTTGGGAATTTGGGAACCTTGAACAGATGCTAGCCCTTTCTCGTGCTCACCTAGGGTTTTTATCCTTCATTATAGTCTAGCACATATATACTCTGTTATGCTATGCTAGCATTTTCACGAGGCGCCCTGGATGCGTAATATTGAGGGTTGAAAATGGACGGTCCCTAAAATCATGCAAGTTATTGGTGACTCTTTCATGTGGAAACCAAAGTGAAACAGCTTGCCCCCCCTAGAAACACCCATATACATACTAGATATACACATTATATATATATAC